TATGTTTTTCAGTTTCACTTTCAGATAATACACATTCTATCAAAAAATTAAAAAATATTATGATGAAATTATTATTAAAATCTTGGATTTGTAATCATGTTTACAGATATACTAGTTCTATAATTTCAGAACTCTTTTATCTTCCAATAAAATAACATGAAAATGAAAGTTTTTAACACAGTTATGTAATGCATAACTTTAGCACCGTATGTGAGATACTGATGGAATCAGTTGATAATGCCAAAATATTATAAATATTTAATAAGGCAATGCAATATTTAATGCGTTGATATTCTTAACCTGATAACGTTCCATCAATGTATGCATGTACTTAATTACCTTCCATATTTTGTTTATAAGCTCTTGCTTAGCAGATATTCCATTTCTTGATGTACTTTATTTTCCCCCTTGAATTGTTTTTCGTGTCCCCCCCATTTTACTTTGATTTTCAGAACCACAGCATTTTAAAATTATTTTATACATAGATTCTTGAAACTGAATATAAAAATTGCCTTGTAAAATAAAATGTTATTGTACTTCATTGGCAGTGATTATAAACATTTATATCAACAAAGTAGGCCATCAATATTAAACTGTGTTTACATTTTGACACATATTTTACCTGAAAGTGACAACTAGGATTCCATTACTTTCGTTATTATACCACCGTGTTAATGTCAATCCTACGGAGACCTTTGAAGATATTTCAGTTATCACAAGGCTGGAAAGAATTACAAAGGCCATGGTTCTTCATATCTCAAACACGCACTGACACCCGTCACCCATATACTAATTAATCATACAAGCAAATACATTAATGTTAAATCAACACCATAGAAAATATTTAAAATATATGTGAAAATTAAGGTGTCCTTCAAATTGACACATTTTTTTAAAGTTGAAATTGGCTGTCTTCTGTACCATGTGGTCTAATAGAAATTGACTGACATTTCAGAGGTACTTACTGCCTCCATCATCAGGGTGATTGTCCTAATCATTTAGTCCATTTCTATCAAACTATACAGTGCAACATCTGAGAAGACAGCCATCTTCCTGCCATCACAATCGAGAAGACCAAAGTCCTCATTCCTTCTTTTCGTTGTCACAGCTTTCTTATAAGATTCTTCCAGCAATATCTTCGTTGTCCAAATCTCTCTTCTTTCACACAATACCTTCGAC